TCACTTCTCTCAGCGGGGGCGTAGAGGACTCTGTAACCCAGTAATTCCCCACGGGCGAGAGCGGGCGCGAGAGGGTCCCACGATACCAGCACACTGTGGGCGGTCATGGGCGCGCATCGGAGAGCAGTAGGGGCGGCCGAGGGCACTGAAGTAGGAAAGGGTGGTCTTCGTTATGTGTTCTGGATAAAGACATGTGTGTGGGGGTTATGTGAGGGTGTATAATACAGGTTCTTATTTCCTACAGTGATTGGACAGGGGAACTACTTCGTAATGAAAAGGTAACTGTGTGCAAATATACGTACGCACGTACACGCGCATGTGCATACAGACACACACACACACACACGAATACAACCACACATACCATTTTAAGACACACACACACACACAAAAAAAAAAAAAATAATGGAAAAGAATAAAAGGAAAAAAATAGGCTTACCGTCCTCTAGCGTCGAGCTCGTCACAGTAACAGAAGCTGGACCGGCACCCTGGGCATTAACAGCCTGGACCTCGACGACGTACTGTGTGTGTGGCATCAGGTCCGAGATCAGGGCCGAGCAGCACGTACCCAGGGCAGACGAGGACGTGGGAGACGACGAGGAAGAGGAGGAGGAAGAAGAAGAGGAAGAGGAGGAAGAGGAGGACGAGGAAGAGATGGAGGGTGAGGAGGCCCACGTGTCGACTTCCACTGTGACGACTTTGTATTGGTCGCTGGACACTCTGGGGAAAGAAGGAAGGGGTGGGGGGGGGTAAGATGGTAAATAGTTTTCTTATTATCATTGTTATTATCAACATCATGATTATGGTTATCATTTGCATTGTTATTATTACTATAAACGGTCTTTATGTTGCATGTGCATTCATTATTATTGCTATTATCATTATCATTATCATTGTTATCATCATTATCATTATCATCACTGGCTTTCTCATCATTACTATAATCATTATTATTATCGTTATTTTCATTATCACCATTACCATCATCACTATCATTATCATTATCATTATCATTTTTTAAAACCATCATTGTCTTCTTATTGATATCATAATATTATCATAATTATCATCACTATCAATGACTAACTTTAGTCTTAAAAAGCCAAAGCCATGAACCGTATAAATTCTATTGGGCTGAAAATATGTACATTATTTTTTCTTCAACACACACGTATGAACAAAAGACCTGTTAGCATTCACTGAACTTTAAGAAAACATTGAGGCTGAATAGATTTTTTTCCCCTTTTTTATTATGCATAAAGGCATTCAGTAGACTAACAATAAGAGTGGAACAATTGCGTGGAATATGCGATTCTTTGTTGAATTCGAATGGGAATGTTAATCATATGAAGTGTTTTGAAAAGTGTGTAGTGTAGGAAGTGTTGGATTTTTTGTTTTGTTTTGTTTTGTTTTGTTTACTTTCCTTTTTCTATTTCTATTTTTTTTCTTTCTCTGTCTCTATCATCTATTATTTTCTTTCTCTTTCTCTTCTTCCCTCCCTCTCTCACTTCACGTCGTTTCACCCACCCCCCTTCCTCACTCTTTCTCACCACCTCATCCACCTCTCTTCCTCACCCATTTCCCTTCATCACCCACCTCCCTTCTTCCTCCCTTCTTCCTCCCTCCCTCACCCCATCTACTCCTCCTCCCCTTTCCTTATCCATCCCCCTTCCTCCTCCTCCTCCTCCTCCTCCCCCTTTCCTCACCCACCCCTCCTCCTCCTCCTCCTCCTTCCTTCTTATCCCACCTCATCTCCTCCTCCTCCTCCTCCCCCTCTCCTCACCCAGCCCCCTTCCCTTTCCTCCTCCTCCTCCTCCTCCCCCTTCCCCCCCTTCCTCCTTCTCCTCCTCCTCCTCCTTCTTTCCTTACCCACCCACCTTCCTTTTCCTCCTCCTCCTCCCCCTTTCCTCACCCATACCCCTTCCTTTTCCTCCTCCTCCTCCTCTTCCTCCCCCTTTCCTCACCCACCCCCTTCCCCCCCTTCCTCCTCCTTCTTTCCTTACCCACCCACCTTCCTTTTCCTCCTCCTCCTCCCCCTTTCCTCACTCTCTCCCTTTCCTCACCCATACCCCTTCCTTTTCCTCCTCCTCCTCCTCTTCCTCCCCCCTCCCCCCCATTCCTCCTCCTCCTCCTCCCCTCCTTTCCTCACCCATCCCCCTTCCTCCTCCTCCTCCTCTTCCTCCCCCTCCTTTCCTCCCCTTCCCCCCTCCCTTCCTCCCCTCCTCCCCCCCCCTTTTCCTCACCCAGCCTGTCCATAGCCGATGTAGTAGGCAAGAATCCGGCCGTGCTGACTCGAAGGATCCGGAGGAAGCCACGACACCTTCAGGCTACTGGAGGAGGCGGCGGAAACCTCGACGTCCCTAGGCGGTGCTCCGGGTGCCTCTCCCTCCGTCGTCACCTGGAGGGCCTGCGGGAAGATAAAATATTTCGTTTTTTTTTGTTATTATTAATTGATTATTTTTTTTTTTATTATTAATCTATTTATTTATTATTATTATTATTTTTAAAATTTTATCTATTTGTTTATTTATTTATTTTTTTTTTATTAATTAATCTTTTTTTTCTCTCTTTTTTTTTTTTTTTTTAGTGCCGTATCAGAGCCTGACGTTGGCGACCATGTTTAATTCCATGGTTGTACAAGGGAGTGTACGAAGGTGGTTTCCCGTTGCCTTCCTTCGAGTGATTGAAGAGTTCACCATCTCTCTTTCCCTCATTCGCTCCATTGACTTTCACTATACACATTCACACATTCATTCATACCATCAGGCAATTGAGGTGAAGTTCCTTGCCTAGGGGAACAACGCGCCGGCCGGGACTCGAACCCTCGAACTCAGATCGTCGTGGCTTTTCTGAGTCCGATGCTCTAACCACTCTGCCACCGTGTTTTTGTATACGTTTCTTTATTCGTGAGTAGTGTTATTACTCTTACTACCATTATTGATTGTAATAAAAGGGTATATTTTAATGGAAGCCTCACCTCATTAGCAAACAAATTGCAACCTCTCGTCATCATTAGTAACACATCGAAACTTCTCCTCATTAGCAACAAGTGGAAAACGAACCTCATTAAAATGGAAACCTCTCCTCATTTGCAACAAAAGGGAAGCTCTCATTAGTAACAAATAGAAACACCGCCTAATTAGAAACAAGTGGAAACCTCACCTCAAAACAGTAACAAAAGGAAAGGAAAACTCCACTCATAATAAACAACTGGAAACCCCACCTCACTGGCAATAAATAGAAACCTCATCTCATTAACAACAAAAGAAAACCTCGGCTCATTAGTGACAAATGGAAACCTCCCATCATTGAAAACAAATAGAAACCTTACCTCATTAGCAACAAAATGAAACCTCCTGTCATGAAAAAAAATAAAAATAAATAACAGACGACGTTATTAACAACAAATAAAAAGCTCACCTCTCCTCATTAACAAAGTGAAGCCTCCCTTCATTAATAACCAATGAGATCCTCACCTCACCAAAAGGAAACCTCACCTCATTAACAAGTGGAAACCTCACCTCATTAACAAGTGGAAACCTCACCTCATTAACAAGTGGAAACCTCACCTCATTAACAAGTGGAAACCTCACCTCATTAACAAGTGGAAACCTCACCTCATTAACAAGTGGAAACCTCACCTCATTGACAAGTGGAAACCTCCCCTCATTAACAAGTGGAAACCTCACCTCACCAAAAGGAAACTTTACCTCATTAACAAGTGGAAACCTCACCTCATTAACAAGTGGAAACCTCACCTGATTAACAAGTGGAAATCTTTACCTCATTAACAAGTGGAATCCTTACCTCATTAACAAGTGGAAACCTCACCTCATTAACAAGTGGAAACCTCACCTCACCAAAAGGAAACTTTACCTCATTAACAAGTGGAAACCTCACCTCATTAACAAGTGGAAACCTCACCTGATTAACAAGTGGAAATCTTTACCTCACCAAAAGGAAACCTTACCTCATTAACAAGTGGAAACCTCACCTCATTAACAAGTGGAATCCTTACCTCATTAACAAGTGGAAACCTCACCTCATTAACAAGTGGAATCCTCACCTCATTAACAAGTGGAAACCTCACCTCATTAACAAGTGGAATCCTTACCTCATTAACAAGTGGAAACCTTACCTCATTAACAAGTGGAAACCTCTGCTCATTAACAAGTGGAATCCTCACCTCATTAACAAGTGGAATCCTTACTTCATTAACAAGTGGAAACCTCACCTCATTAACAAGTGGAAACCTCACCTCATTAACAAGTGGAATCCTTACCTCTTTAACAAGTGGAAACCTCACCTCATTAACAAGTGGAAACTTCACCTCACTGATTGGAAACCTCACCTCACCGATTGGAAACCTCGCCTGATTAACAAGTGGAAACCTCACCTCATTAACAAGTGAAAACCTCACCTCATTAACAAGTGGAAACTTCACCTCACTGATTGGAAACCTCACCTCACCGATTGGAAACCTCGCCTGATTAACAAGTGGAAACCTCATCTCATTAACAAGTGGAAAACTCACCTCATTAACAAGTGGAAACCTCACCTCATTAACAAGTGGAAACCTCACCTCACCGATTGGAAACCTCGCCTGATTAACAAGTGGAAACCTCACCTCATTAACAAGAGGAAACCTCACCTCATTAACAAGTGGAAACCTCACCTCACCGATTGGAAACCTCGCCTGATTAACAAGTGGAAACCTCACCTCATTAACAAGAGGAAACCTCACCTCACCGATTGGAAACCTCACCTCAGAAGGCTTAGAAGGACCCATAGCATTGTGGGCGTAGAGAGTGAAGAGGTACTGAGTCGCGGGCGTGAGTTTGTCCACCCGAGCTTCCGTCTCCCCCCCGCCCACGGAAACCTCCAGCTCGCCGTGGTTCTCCAAAAGGCCTTGCTGCTGCCAACCTGTGGGCGTGTGGGCGTGCGTTTGGGGTGTTAGAGTTAATGTTATTATTATCCTTATTGCTATTGTTATTATTATT